TGCAGCATTTCGGTTCTCCAAGCTCTCAAGCGTCCAGGGCCGGGGGAAGTAGGTGGGAACAGTGAGCGGGTTGACAAATCAAAGGAGAGGGCTTTCCACACAATCATGGCAATAATAGTGGCGCTATTGTTTAGATTTGGGGGGAATCTGATTGGCAGTGTGATTAACAGTTCAGTAGTGCTGAGCACCAGTGACATGTGTGTGGTGTTGTTGTCTGCATTTTGGTTTGATCTGCCCAGCAGCTTGGTGTTACCTCTGCTTTTTCTACAGCGGGCAGGAAAATTACAAAATTGTAAATTAAACTCTGAACTCTGAAGCAGGATAAGGGTTTGGATTGCATGTAAAACTATGCTATTATAATTTCCTGTGAAAGTACCGGGGTCTCATTTATAAAACTGTAGGTAGGAAAGACTAAAGGTTGCATAAGGACAAAACATAGGAAGTGCGTGCGCAAAAAATATTCTGCACGAAGAAAAGGAGGCAAATTCTGACAGAAAACTTAAAAAAGTAATTTAACCCAATGTGACACTAACATTCTTTTGGGTGAGGTTGAAGCAAGAAAAATTATGCTGTTTGGTGGGCAAAACGCACGCACACAACACTTGAGCCCCAGAGGAAAGGGAGCCCCGGAGCTAGACCCCTTTAATAACCAATCTGCAGGAGAGTGCATTCATTTCATCCTGAGTAGTGACGGTGGTGGAGGAGGATACATATACATGCAAGATGCACTGGATGATTCAGGCACATCATTTGGATTCCCTTGTTTGAAAAGGGAGAAAAACCTATTGCATGCCGATGAGTTACAAAATATGACTTTGTTTTATGTAACATAAGCAGCACACTGAAAGACTGACTTAATAAATAGCGGTACATTTATACACGCTGGTGCATAGCATTTGGCTCAAATACCTTAAGGCAGAGGAGGTGATAATGATATGTGAAACTATGCACTCGTGTTTTCTCGACTGAGGCATCAAAAATGGCATCAATTTAAATTTAATGTACAACTGTTGGTAGTAACTGTTGTACAAATTACTACCTTCTTAATGAGAATAAATAGCACCGCATGCAAGTATAATTAATGATTTCTAATTAAACTGTACAACAAACATATTGAGGCGTTCTTTTGCATAAACAGATTTTTTGTGTGTGCTGCAGATCATCTGAAATCATGTTTTTTTATTGCGCATCTCATCTCAGCATCAAAGGGGTGTTTGTTTGTTTGGAAAGGTTTTCGACTGTTTTGCAAATAAACTCGTAAAACATTGAATTATATTAAGTTTTATTAACCCATAATACACAGAGGTAATATTTTGATTTATTTTAATAGTATCTGTTTCAAACCGTTTCATCCTTCTGCCATGTGTGTCGCAGTGGCGGTTTGTTTGTTATAGATCACAACCTTTGTGTGGAAAGTGGCGTCCGCACGTTTCTGGTCCCGTTTTGTACATACATGCCATTTATAAATGAGGCCCCTGGAAATCAAAATCTTTTAAATAATTAAACTATTGATTTTTTAATTTGTAGTTAAATACTGAAAATGTGTCATGAATGATTATATGAAATTCTAAAGTATTTGTGGAAGTCAGCTAGTGTGATTTAGGTAAAGTGTAAAGTTTTAATTATAGGATAGCCAGAGGTATATGTAGAGAATACAATGTATATCTTGGTCTTATCTGTATTTAAAATATTTTTATGATTAAGAAGATCTATTCAAGAGCATCAAAAAATTGTATCATCTACATAAAATTATATGTTGCATTGATTTTGAAGAATACTGTCATTTATTTTATTTCTGTTTTTGTATAATGTAAATAGTAAAGTCACTACAGTCCGTCAAGAAACACCATCAAGAAAGATGGTGGTCTGTTATGTAGGATTTTGGGATGGTATCAAATACTGAGAGGTCAATAAAGAGAGTAGCACAGAATTCTTGTGTAATTAAAAGTGAAGACAATGTCAGCAATTACTGAAGAAAAAAACAGACTGTCGAGGCTGTAGTAATACACTCAATTCAGTAAATAAAAGTCAAAGTGACGGTTAAAAAGTAACCATTTTGTCATCATCCTCTGTCACAGTTTCGCATCTGTAACCAGGAATGGCAAAGAAAAATGCAAAACAGAAGTAATGTTGTGTTTCCCAAAGCGCTTGAGTCAGAAGTGGTCCCTACTCTCCATTCAAATTAGAAAATGAAAAACGGATTTACTGTGTGCCTAATGCAAATGTTTGTGTTATGTCATCTGTGTGGTTCACGACTGGAGTTCATCGGAAGTGTCAAGAGAACAAAACGAGTAAGAATACGAATCCCCAAATTAACACAAGCAATTTCACACCTGGTGTCAACATGTGATCTGTAAATGTGTAAATGCATGCAGAACCCATTAAAGTCAGAATATGATTGAGGTCCTTAAGCTTACAGTGAGATCAGATCTCAGCCTCAAGAACACTACGCTCTACGGTTGTCAACGGCAATTGGTGTATATTTTCTGTTCTCTCTTAGTGTCACCACCAGCCCGCCCCCATTCTCCTGCGGCTCTTGTTTTTGTGACCATGATTTTAACCACGATAAATGGCTAGGACTATGTACTGGCACTGGCATGACACACACCGGGACTGCCATTCATAGAAGAGGCACTTGCCCAGCTGCAACACAGGTACCCACACAGAAACTCTGTCGAAGGGGCATAAATGTGCTTCTCGTGACAGTCAAAGCTCCACCAGACTTCCTGTCTTTCCAGTGGAGACATGAAGAGCCTTACAGCAGCTGCTCATGTCTAGTTAGCTCTGACTTCTAGTGCAGTGGGAATGCACATCGCTATCCAGGCCACAATATTTGGTAACAAAGTCCTTATAGGCAAGTCATGCCACTCGGCAGCCATCTTGGCAACGCCTCCGGGCATCTATTTCACGACTGGAATCAGCAATAAAATCTGATAAAAATCACTGAAAAAGTTTGACAACTTTCCCTCAAAATAAGGTTTCAAAAGCATTTTTCCCGACCGGTTATACTTCTACTGCACATGCGTAGTAGTAGTGACTTATGATGGGTATTGCTACTCGATACCTGAAACAGCCCAGTACGTCTCCAGTAAAACCAGTACTTGAATTGATACTTTTTGTAACCAGATCACGGCAAAAAAATTTGGATTTGTATGGTTTTGCTTGCAGCCAAACACGCAAACAACACACAGAAAGAAAGAGAAGAGCACGCCTTTTTTTTTTTCTTTTCCTCCATGCCTGCACCATAAACTGTATAAAAAATGGCGTGCACGTGCCGAGTCCATGCGTGACTTTAACAGCCTTCAGCTGGGTCTCAGGCATGTTCGTCACTGTTGCAAGTTTGGCTTTCCGTTGGTTTCATCTTCTGGTATCATTTATCACTTCACTGTATATTTTTATTTGCTGTTCACATCACTTGTCACTGATTGATCAGCTGATTTTACTAACGCAGCCTCTGGCTGCAGCTGCAGCTGCTTCAGGTGTAGCTGGTTTGATCGGCTGGACGTGCAGCCTCTCTTTTCCTCTGTATGTGAGTCTTTAGTGTATTTAAGTGACTTGTTTAAACACTCCTTACTCGTTTTATACTGTATACTGTCGGAGGAGGTTTGCGACTCAACACTAAAGTTAAAAGCACTCACGGAGATCTTTCAATTCACTTTATTGATCCTTAAATCCGTTTCCCACCACTTATTTGTTCACTAAACTATTTCACTCTTCCTTTCATTCAAATATAAATTCCCAAGCGGTAGTCTTTAATTGGGATAGGTCTTTAATTATGACCTAATTAGGATGAGGAGCGATCTGAAATAATATTTCCCAATACTTTTTATCTAACAGCTATTTGAGACAAGAAGAAATTAAATATTTCACCTTGCTTGTCCATGACAATAAAAATAATAATAGTCTACCAATCAACTACTTTGGCTTCAACAGGTGCCACTTTACACAACGTCTTTTATTGGTATCGGTATCACTTTAATGGGTTTTGGTACTAGACTGTAATATCTCAACAACTATTATTATTATTATACAGATATCCACGGTCCCATAAAGGATGAATCTTTCCCTCTTTTCTCTTTTTCTTTGAAACTTTTCCTCTATTGGCATCATGAGGTTAACATTTGTAGTTTTTAGCGAGTCTCAACGACTTCAGTGGACTGCTGTTCCCCTCAGGATGAATTGTGATCTCATGAGCCACCATCAGGTCTTATTACTTTGGTACTTTGACTTAAAAATAGGGCTGATCCCAATGATTTGAAGCTCCTACTATGGTCATTTCAATCGTTAATTGAAATCAAAACCAGTATTTAAATGCTGCATTTTTTTAAAATTATTATATATGCATATATATACCCCTAAAACCCCAAATAGCCTGTGAAATCCAACATGATCAACATTAAACAGCATATTAGAGCACAGAGGCAGAGTGGCAGCCACAACTGTCCTTTTTTTAGCGTTAATTAGCAAATATTAGCACGCAAAAAATGCTACACTAAGACAGTGAAGAGAGTAATCATTATATAAGTTTTTTTTAAATGCAGGTAAACCTGCTAAAAAAAGGCTACTGACTTCTTTCACATTGCCAGCAGACAAGTTTGCGTTTTCTGTTTTTTTTTCTAATGCGTCACATTGGGCATTAAAAACAGGGTTAGTAAACAGTAGAAAGCAGCATGGAGGCCAGTGACAATGTTACCGTGGTTGTTGTGTGTAGCTCATACCCATGACTACTGCAGATTTATTTCACCTGGGAGTTAATGCCAGATGTTATCCTTTCACACTGAAGACAAATGCCAGATGTTAGTGTGTTTTTTGTCAAGTGGAAAAATACTTAGATGTACCATAAAACTTCATCTGACAGCCTCAAAACTGAGATTGTACAGACTAACACATCCACCATTGTGTCCTTGAGCAACACACTGAACCCCTAGTTGCTCCTTAGGCGTGCAACCTCTAACATACATAGCTATTGTAAGTCACTTTGGATAAAAGCGTCAGCTAAATGTAATGCAACCAAGATTTTATTAGAGCCATCTTGCACAGTGTGACATGCAATGAACTTTGCTGCCAGTGCATCAGTATATACAGAGAGACACTTACATAACTTGAAGAAACATTTACTTAAATATAAGAAAAGACAATCATTCAAACACTCACTGTTCTATTTAAAGAAGAAAAGAAATCTAATTGGTCCAGAGTTAGTGTCACGTTGCAGCTTCCGCCACCAGGTGGCTCTTCATATGTGTTTTCAGACAGTGGCTCTGAGTGAAGGCTTTGTCACAGAGGGTACACTTGTATGGTCTCTCCCCGTTATGGGTCCTCATGTGGACGGTCAAGTACGTTTTGCGAGCACAGGCTTTCCCACAAATACCGCAAACAAACGGTTTGAGGCCTGAGTGGACGGTCACGTGGTTATCCAGATTAATCTTGCGTTTGAAAGACCAGCCACAGTCCGGGCAGCGGTACGGCGTCTCTCCGGTGTGGACCCGCATGTGAACGGTCAAAGGTCCCTTGGTGGTGAATCCCTTGCCGCATTCACCACAGTTGTAGGGCTTCTCGTTGGTGTGCGTTCTCATGTGGATTTGCAGCTGCTTGCTCGTCAGGAACATTTTGCAGCAAACGTCGCAGAGGTACGATCTCTCTCTGTCTGTGTGAATCTTCTCGTGTTGTCTCAACGTCCCGGGAAGTTTAAAACACCTCCCGCAAATCTCACAGCTGTGAGGTCTTTCCCCAGAGTGAGTCATCTTGTGGCGGGATAAGGATCTGTAGTCACTGAGGGACTTACCACACACACCGCAGAGGTGAGTCTTTTTGTTGGTGTGAGTCCTGCGGTGAGCTTTTAACTGTTCCTTTAGGTCAAACACTTTATGGCAAGTGTAACACTTGTGGAGCTTACCCGCGTTATGGAGCTTCTGGTGATTCTGAAGGGATTCCTTCAACGCAAAAGTGTCACTGCAAACATCACATTCGTACGGTCTCTCCCCTGAGTGGGCAGCCACGTGCTCATTGAGGCTGAGAATACTAAGGAAAGACTCTCCGCAAATGTCACAGTCGTCTGTTTTGTGGTGACTTTGAAGATGATCCTTCAAGGCCTCCACCGACTCCGAAAGAGTCCCGCACACTCCGCAAAGACTTCCCTGATCGTCAGCGTGATTCCAGGCATGTTTGACAAAAGTGACTTCTGATTCGTGCAGAGCTCCACAGACTTTGCAGGACAGAACGACATCACTATTGTTAGTCTTTGTCTCAGTGACCTTGACACCAGAACGTCTGGCCTTTTGTTTCTTCATCGTCTTTGACGGCAGTTCAGAGTCACTTTCTTTCTGCTCTTCATCGCTCCTGTCTGGCTTCCAATCTGCATCACTGTCAAGCGCCTCTTCTCGTTCTTCTTCCTTTTCAATATCACTGCTACCATTGCCTTTACTCTCAGCTGCAGAGCAGACCACAAAGTCCTTAGCTGGTTCTGATATCCCAGGATCCTCATCATCAGCTTCCTCCCTTTCCAGGTCTTGTTGTTGTGATGTTGAGCTGCTGGACACAAAGCCAACTCTGCTACCTTCGACTTCCTGAACAGGGCTGCTGAGAAGAGCAAAAATTAAAGGCAGTTCAGAAGTGGTGTGTTTCAGCCTATCTGATAATGGGTGTCTGTAGGTAACGCAACACTATATGGCCAAAAGTTTGTGAAAATCTCTTCTAATCAGTGGGTCCAGCAGCCTCAGTAACATCCATTTGTGGTGCATAAAACCAAGCGCAGCCAAGCAAACTCCACTGAGAAATATCAGCAGTAGAGTCAGTTCATCAAGGAAGGCTACACAAGATCAAAAAATGGTTTACACTCAGTTGCTCCTCCGGAGGCAAAGTAATCATAAAAACTGTTCCTCTGGGCCCCTTCGCTAAGCCACGTCCCAAATACGCAGCTGGCCAATCACAGCAGAGTATAGGACTCGCTCTAAGTGAGATCTGACACTTTTATGGATGCGCTCCATTAACTCTAATGCAAAAAGGGGTCGTTTTCTAGCTTTCTTCTGCCTTATTTTTCCAGGATATGGTCAAACGCTGTTCCTGGGGCACTTGTAATAATTACAGCTAGAGAGGTAGAGGTTCACTGTCTGGCCTTTTAATGGGCAAAATTGATTAAAGATAAATGCTACCTGCCTGAATCTATGCTACGTCCGGTGGGAAAGGAATGACGGTCAAGGCCCCTTAACTCCAGTTCCAGCTCCATAAAGAAATAGTTTTACCATTTTGGTTGGGGAAGAATTTGACAGGTCTGCACAGAACCCTGACTTCAACCCCATCCAACACCTTGGGGATGAACTGGAGATCCAACTGTGAGTCAGCCCTGGTGGGAAGACTTCCTGGGAGAGTGAAGGCTGTTAAAGGAACTATCACATGCGGTTGTAACGTTTGGGTGTCCACATACTTTTGGCCACATAGTGTATGTTTCATCCTTTTAAGTTACCTTGTTTGATTCCTGGTTTCATCACACGTCAGCATGGCAGAGGTGGACAGAGAGTCTTCAGGATTGTTGGCTTTTGTCTGCAGAGGATGTGTCTCTTCCTCGCTGGCCTGAGTTTCCTTTTGTGTCTGGAAAAATAAAGAAGTCGGAATTAATCACGTGGCCACAGCACTTTGTCTTTATGGGTGGCGGCTAAAATCACAACAGATTATTACAAACTACCTTCAGTCTGATATAGAGTGTCGACTTCCCCCATCCTGTGAAGCTGACGTTTCTGTGGATCTCCTCTGGTGTCAGTGTCTCTAGATTCAGAGGCTGTAATCTCCGTCTCTTGTCAGATGTTAAGATGTCAAAGGGTTTGTTGTCTCCGGACAGCTGAGGGTATGTGGACTTCAGCAAGTCCAGAAACTCTGCCTCCCGCAGGCCTCGAGGACACTTCAGCTTCAGCATCGGACATTTCTTCAGAACTGACAGAGGGCAGATGTAAAGTTAGGACACATTTATTAGAGTCAGAAATCTAACAGGATTAGTTTTTACTGTAAAATTTCCTGGATCTGTCAGGAAACAAAAGGTTTCCAAACTTTAAACCGGGGCAAATTGTGTTTAAAGTTCCTGTTAATAAAAGGAATTGGAATTGGCTTTATATTCGTGATATCGCCCACTCCTACTGTGCATTTCTTTCAGCGCTATTTACACGACAAACCTTCCCATCACTTGCTCTGAATACCAAGAAAATGTGCAAGCTGAAAAGTGTTTTGCGTTACTACGACAACCTGTGTGAGCTAACTGTGGTATGACTACTTATTTAACCATTTTTTTTATTATTTCAATTGAACATTGACAATAAAAAAAACAAAACTGTAGTTGACATAAACATTTCTCCTCTTTTTGAATGATGAAACTTTACTAACAATGTACAAACAAGTGTAAATTAGCAAATCTTGCAGCACCCTCAGCTTGTTTTTAAGTCACCCTGAGGTGCCACTTCTCCCACTTTGGGAACCATTGGGTTAGATGATGAGATTGCTCACTCATTTGAAATGCCCAAATATCAAGAGTTCAAGTTCACCCAAATTTTAACTCCATACCCAAACTACTAGAAATAGTCCCTGAGAAAATCTAATTGTATTATTAACCTCCATTGTGTTGAATAGCAGCACAAACATCAAATGAAGCCAAGAACATCGGCTGATAAAACCAAAACCATCTGCGCAGCCAGATACCACTAGAGATAGATAAAGAGGTGAAAATATTATATTATTTTTGTGATTTGACCCTTAAACTTTAACTAAACCAGCTGTATTGGACACAGTTGGTGTCACAGCTTGATGAAATCAAAGACACTCCCATTAAATGTACTTTTTACAATTACCGTTGTTTGAGAGCACCTCGGTCTGAGAGTCCTCCAGGATGCGGATTCTGAGGTCTACATGGTTCTTTGTCTCACTGATCTGAGGTCTGCCAGGCTTTCTCTTCTTATACTGACCTCTGGAGGGAAGGGACCTGAAAGACGAAGATTGGCTACAGGTTAATTATAGGAGTCTATCACTGCCAATATAAAAATATAATAATTTAATCATAGTAAAATGTTGGGGTGGACCCTGGTATACCTGCATGCAGTTCTAGTTACAATACATTTAATTAGCAGTAGGGGTGCACTTTAATGAAATTATTTATGATATCTAATAATTTCCCTGGAAAGTGTTGCTGATATTTTTGGTTTCAAAACAGTCAGCTTTTCTCCTCCATATAAACAAATACATGTAACTGATGGTAAAGATATACAATATATTAAGAAATACATAAAATGCGATCAAGCTTTTTACAGTAAAAGTAATCAATTGTTTTTTCAATTTTTCTATGTGGACATTAAGTAAATCAAGCAACATGACAACCTTAAAGTACGGCTGTATGCAAAAGTTTAGGCACCCCTGAATATTTCCATGATTTTCATTTATAAATAATTGGTGGATAAGCAATTTCATTTTGAGGTATCAAATAATTGAAAGACAGTAATATTTCAGTAGTGAAATGAGGTTCATTAGATGAAGAGAAAATGTGCAATATGTATCAAAATGAAATTAGACAGGTGAATAAATTTGGGCACGCTTGTCATTTTGTTGATTTGAATACCTGTAACTACCTTGCACTGATTAACTGGAACACACAATCGGTTTGGTGAGCTCATTAAGGCTTTAACTTCATAGACAGGTGCATCCAATCATGAGATCTGAAAACAAAGATTGTTCAACATTATGGTTTAGGGGAAGACTACAAAAAGCTATCGCAGAGATTTAAGCTGTCAGTGTCCACAGGAACACAGTGAGGAAATGGACGACCACAGGCACAGTTCTTGTTAAGGCCAGAAGTGGAAGGCAAAGTAAAATATCGGAGAGGCAAAGGCGAAGGATGGTGAGAACGATCAAAAACAGCCCACAGACCACCTCCACAGACCTACACCATTGCTGCAGATGGTGTCACTGTGCATCGTTCAACAATTCAGCGCACTTTGCACAAGGAGAAGCTGTACGGGAGGGTGATGCGGAAGAAGCCTTTTCTGCACATACGCCACAAACAGAGTCGCTTGAGGTCTGCAAACGCAGGTTTGGACAAGCCAGCTTTATTTTGGAAGAAGGTCCTGTGGACTGATGAAACAAACATGGAGTTATTTGGTCATAACAAGGGGCGTTATGCATGACGGCAAAAAAACACAGTAAAATTTGGTGGAGGTTCCATCACGCTGTGGGGCTGTGTGGCCAGTGCCGGCACTGAGGGTCGCATGGATTCCACTCAATATCAGCAGATATTTGAGAATAATGTAGAGGAATCGTTCATAAAGTTGAAATTACGCCGGGGCTGAACGACCCAAAACACTGCTCAAAATCTACTCTGGCATTTATGCAGTGGGACAAGTATAATGTTCCCCAGACCTGAATATCATTGAAAATCCGTGGGGTGATTTGAAGCGGGCTGTCCACGCTCGGCAACCATCAAACATAACCGGACTGGAGACTAACTAAATATTGATGTGATATTTCTGTTGGGGTGCCAAAATTTATGCACCTGTCTACTTTCGTTTTGATGCATATTGCACATTTTCTGTTCATCCAATAAACCTCATTTGTCTTTAAGTTATTTGACAGCTCAAAATTAAATTGCTGATCCAAACACCCAATTATTTATAAATGAATATCAAGGAAATTGTCAGGGGTGCCTAAACTTTTGCATACAACTGTAATTCAGTGTCAAATGTAAAATAAAAGAGAACAGGAGACTTTTTATTTTTCATAGACAAACCATAAACCTCATGTAAACTAAGTGATAACACTGGAGGAACCTTGATGGAGTTTGATTAGTTGAGTCCTCCAGGTTCTCTGGATGCTCAGGGGACTCCTCCTCATCTTCACCCTCCTCTTCCTCATCAAGGCCGAGGCTCCTGCTGCGCTTCACAACTGGACAAAAGGCAGAACTCAATTATTTTAGTTTAAAGGCAGATTTCTGCTCCTGAGTGAAAAGAAACCTGATGGTTACTTGTGGTTTGAACTCTTCTTTATGGTCAACAGTTGAGGCCAAACAGTGGATCACTTCACTAATCTGAGGTAAAACATTCAAATCAATCAGGATAAAATCTTTATCAACAAATATGCACGATTAAAATTAAGTAAAAGCTTTTTTTTTCAGTCCCTTTTCCTCAAACAAAAAAAACATTAATAAAAAAAATTATTTGTGTGTGATTCAAGTGAATAAAATCAAACATTTATGGAATATTTATAGAACATTTTCTATATTGTTATTGAAAAAAATGATATTACGATAATTATTGTTATGGTTTTATTGTCCAGCCCTATTTCACTAGTTGTTAAAGTCTGTATAGAGACCATTTCGCTTAAGTTAAAATAATCGTGAAGAAAACCTGATCTAACAGAACTGGTGTTTTTCTGTAAATTCGGCATTTGCATAAGTTAGGAGTCTAGGACATAAAATAATGGCAAACATAAAGAGCTAGATTTATGAGCTCGTTGGTCAGTCACAGTAAAGCCGAATTGAAGAATAAGTCGTGTTGATGAGAGAAACATCTTTGCTTTTGTAACGTGATGTCTGCAAATATGTTGAGAACGAAGCAAATATTAAATTACAAGATATTTCAATGGAGTTCAACTTGCTACTATCTCAACAAACCGGGAGTTGCTGGATTAAAAAGTATACGTGGCAGTAAATTAATGAGCGACCTGCTTTGCTGAGTGTGACCCGAGGCTGCAGGAGACCCTCCAGCTGTCTCCTCTGCCGATCAATCTCCTCTCTGAAGCCCGAAGCCTCCTCCTCGTAGTCGGCTACGATTCTGTCTACAGCCGCTAAGATCTCCTGGGAGGCAGCGGCGAGTCTCTCCGTAACAAATCCTCTCAGAACATCACCTTTGGACATTTTACTCACACTCTCATGCCAACCTGTGACCACAGTTTAAATTTTTTGTGGAAAGTCTTATTCCATCCTTGCACTGTTTACTACAACGACAAGTTTCCGGGTTTTGGTGCGTGCGTAAAATATCATCCGAGTAGAAACAGAGACCTGAGCCAGGTGTTCCTTTTCGTCTTGCTCTTCTGAGATACATGTAAAAATGAAGCAATAAATTAACATAAAATGAATTGTGTCAACACATAATTGAAAGAAACTTGGTCATATTTAATATTTCATCTATTCCCTTTTGGCCCCAAGCACCGCCCACCCTCCAAAATGGAAAACTAAACAGTTGGAAAATTAAGATCAGTGGAAGACTTTTAAAATTTTAAGTTTTGAAAATGTTTTATTAATTAAAATGTGTAATTGTTGAATGTAAAGATCTTCTCAGGTCATTTAAATCCCTAAATTCTCAGAAACAATACTCGTGTCCTAAATGTCCTTGTTTGTAGCTGAGGCCAGTGATGGAAGAAGCAGGCTGCTCAGATCTTTTACTTGACTAAAAGTATAAAAACTGCAATAAGAAATATTCAACATATCCCATTACAAGTAAATGTTATGCATTCAAGTTATGCAGTCATGCATCCTAAATTACAGAAGTATTTTCATCTAAATGTATGTTGGAAAAGTCATTTTGTCAGTAACAGACATCAAACACAGAGGGGAGCCCCTGCACAGAGCAGCATGCTGTTAAATGCAAATGTATCATTGCAGAGAGAAAGCAAATTTAGCAGAGACAGAATATACAAACTAGCTACATTTATTTCTCTAAAGAATGCAAAGATGTAAAGTTTGTCCTGAGCAGTGTTGGGCAGTAAAGCGTTACTGTAATAATATTATTTTTCCCAGTAACTAAATGGAACTAATTACTTTTCTAAAACAGTAATATTATTACTAGTTACTAATGCAAGTAACTCTGCGTTACTTGTTACTGAACGCACCGTCCTTGACGTGAATCCATGACTGCCCCCCTCCCCCGCTTTCATTCTGTGGGAACCAGAAATAAGTAATAGGTAAAGTAGTATTATTAATTTTTTAAGGAGTGATAAGTAACTAGTAATATATTACAATTTCTGAGTAACTTGTCCAACACTGGTCCTGAGGGTAGAGAGGAACAGACTGGTCATGTTGTTGCCGATATGTAAAAGGTTTATCCCCTCTGCAGTGGCCATTTATTTTGTTAAGTTACACTCTATCTAAGCTGCAAAGTGCCTTAATGCTGTATTTTTTGTCCATCTCACCTGTGTCATCATCATCTCATCTATGCCATTAAGCTGTAACTGTTACAGATAATTTCTTAACTGAAAGTGGATTTTTATGAGATCCTGATCTGAGGGCTTCACGTTCAACTTGTGTAGTCGTGCTGAATTCTGGACTGAAAAAAAGTTTATTCCTGAATGCATGAAGTTTTCACATTGTGCTGCTGAGCAATAAAACACTTCAAATCCTCCTTCTAGTTTCCCCCAAGCTCCAACTTCACTCTTTCTATTTTCACGGGCATGCTCGACTTCCTGGGCTTCTTCTTTTGCACGGGTTCACCTGACTCCCACCGCCGTTGCTGATTGGTCAGTGGGCTGGTGCAGGATTCTCCTCGTTTGCTTGGCATGGTGATGGGGGCGCGGCCAGGGAGGGGAGGAGGTGCAGTGTGGTTGGTGTGAAGGCTGAGCAGGCTTTGTTCGTTTTTCTCCACCACAGGAACGACGAGGGGTTCAAGGGAGGGCGGTGAGCCCAGCGAGGAAGCACTGCAAGCTGGGAGGAGTGGAGGAGTCGGCTGGGTGGAGTCATTCAGGGTGAAGTTCTGGTTGTTGTCTTGGCTCAGAGTCCGAGTTCGAGTGTAAGGAAAAGGAGGAGGGGAGTCGGCTTGAGGGGGCATGTCTTCCTGGCAGCCATGTTGGGTGTTTGAATGACTGTTTAACCCAAATCTAAGGGAGTGTAGTTTGACTCGTACTGGTGTGTGTGCATCATCATCCTGTTGCCAAGGTGTGTCGTTGATCTCTCTTTCCTTGCACAAACGTGTGTGAGTGCTGTGTATGTTTGTACAAGCGTTTTTGTCCTTGTGTATTTCAGAGTGTATGCTTGTGTGTGGGTCAGTGTGTGCGTTTCTGTGAGTTTGTGCGTCTCTGCTGGCTCCAGTGTGTAGCCGCGGGTTTGGGTTGGCGCTGTGTCGGTTTCGGCTGCGCAGCGAGCTGAACACCATGGTGCACCCCGCCACCGTGCAGCGATGTTTGATCTTCAAGTGGACAGCATTGTAGTGGATCTTCAGCGTTCCTGCACAAACAGAAGGAGAATGGTTCTCTTGTTAAGTTGGTGCTAACTGACTTCATCATGCATCATGTCAACGAGGAATGAGATTCCCTCCTGACAACAACACAACACTACTGTAGTCTCGTTTCTCTTCAGTGAAAAGTATTTCGTTTACATCTGAAGATCAGTAGAGGACTTTGAATTGGACCCTAGGAGCCCCAACACACTAAATCAGGAGCGGCCTTCCAATGAAACCATGCGGAACCGCAAGATATAAGATCAGTAGAAGATCTCAAATTGAACCCTTCAGAACCCCAAGACATGATATCTAGTAGGGCTGGGACGATTTGTCGATGTAATCGATTACGTAAATGCGTTGACTCTCATTACACGTGTCGAAGCGTCGCTACATCCGGTTTTAGCAGGGATTCCCCCGGACAAGCTCCTGCTACAAGACCGCGCCTTCAATCGTCTAAAGTTTGGGAGTATTTCAGACATGAGCTCTGTGAACTGGAAAAAGCTTCACTGCAGCACAACTGCTGTCCACGAATATGTGAAGCAGCATGAACACATGAAGCGAAAGTATCCCGGAGCACTGACAGCAGCACCGCAAATCCTGTTTACTTTCTGTCTCCACACAAGCACGAGGACATTATCAGCACGAGGACACACAGCTCGTTAAAATGTATCTCTTCATCGTCTTCATGTTAAAAGTAATTTCTGCCCCGCTGCTGTCATGTTCACCGTGTGTCATCTAACGTACGGCAGTGTCATATTTTCTGTTTATTTAAAGGCCCACGTATGAGCGAGAGAACAGCTGAATCTAACAGTACAGACGATCTGTGACTGTCCGCAGAGTCTGTGAGTCGTTTCAGTTGTTTTCTTTGCACCACACTGATGCAGAAATACATACCCTAAGACGCAAAATCTGTAGAGGATCTCAAACTGAACCTTGTGGAACTCCAAGGAATAAATTCACTCTAAGGTATAAATTCACTCTAAGTACTGGATGTGCTGCAGACTTTGAATTGTACTTGAAGACACAGAAACCACAACATTCCTACCTTTGTCATAGAAGCTTTTCCCACAAACGCCACAGCAGACCCTGCCCTTTCGACTGCCTACGAGTAAAGGAGAAGGAAGGGAGCAGAGGGAAGAGGGGATAGGACGGAGGGAGGAAGACGAGGATGGGAGAGGATGGAGGGGGGAAGAAAAAGAGGTGGTAGGAAGAGGACAGAGGAAGGAGGAGGAGAAGGATGGGAGAGGATTGAGAGGGTAGGAAGAGGAGCCTTGCAACTTCTGAGAAATCTTCGGGGGAGAGGAGGAAGAGGAGTAAATGGACGAATGGAATGAGGAAGAAGTAAGGATAAGTGAGGAGTTCAAGGAAGGAGAGAGCGACGAGGTGTTCTCCTCTTTGGCTATGCCCCTGTGAAGGTCAGGTTCCTGGTCGTTGTGGAACCAGGGAATCTGATGCCGTAGCGACTGGGCCGGGTTTGGCTTGTCAGGGTCTGCTTTAATTTTTAAAGCCGGTTCACATTTTGAGGGCTGCAAAATCGGATCATCCTCTTGCTCTCTTCTTACGTCTTCCTGCCTCTGTCTCTCTGCCAGTTTGGTCCCACTAGGCTTCCGTAGGCACTGTGTTAGCTTAAGATCCTGATAAAGGAAACACAAGGAGGAGCGGGTCAAATTCAAAGAACATTTCTACACAGGCGGCAGGCTGTGGTAAACTCAGTGTAGGAGTTATGACAAATTATTGGGATGATTTTCCTGCTGAAAAGCTGTGCTTGGAAGAATCACCTTGGTGGAAGGAACCAAAGAGTGGAGGGTAGAGCTTGGGAAGTGGAAAGGCAGAAGCAAAGACTGTCCACCTGGAAAGTTTTCTAAATGGTGGACGGTGTCGTTGTGGTCAGCAGGACTGTTTTTCTTAAAACAACAGACGCCGGTCTCTAAACATGAATCTCCTCCTGTGTTCTTAAAAAGTCCTGGCGTTCCCCCGTTCCGCTTGCTGAACGTGCCGATGCCGGACTGGCAGCTCTTCGGGGGTCGGATTAGCTCTGGATCAGAGAGGTGATTGGCAGCTGCTAGGCACTGGCGTGCCATCAGCTCGACTATGGGGCGTGTCTCGCCAAAACGAAGGAACTGTTTGAGGATAAGCAGCTCTTCTTCAGGAGTCACCATCAACCAGTGGTCCAACACGTTCCCACCAGGGTACTGGAGAGAAATAGTGGTGACATTTTAATCAATCTGTAACTCAAGATTTGAGAGCACAAAAAGCCAAAAGAAAACATCTTAAGCACATTAATCTTGACTTTATGCATGCTCAGGTTGAAAAAGTGGGTGGCTGGGATTGGGGTCCTGTGAGTCAAACATGAGCCAACACAAATTTATGGACATAACTACTGTTATTCTGATCGTCACAGTATGAAATTTCATATGTATGGACATATCAAAGGCTGTTATCATTGAGCTGAATCTTGCATGTAAAACAAATGCTTTCCAAACCTGATCAACACAATTTGTGTTAAATGGTTTAACTGATATTACACTATAGGTGGGGATATGCTTGAAACTAATAAGGCTATTTTGTCTTGTTCAACACATATCTGAAGTAGTTATAGCTGTTTCGGGTGGCCACACTCGCAGGCGGCGTAAGAAGCCTGCTGTCGTAAAGAAGGGCAAGATGTGATTGTTCAAATAGGGAAAACGGCGCACACACAGGCAAATCAGTCAGCTTGGGCTACTTGTGTTTTCTCCTACAAGTTTCTAATGCAAGCAGAGATAGCGGATAGTGAAGATAACACGAAGCATGTTGAAGAAAGGCGTAGGTATCGTCCCTTT